TTGTCATCCAGGCTGGAGTACAATGCGTGATCTCGGCTTACCAAAATCTCTGCCTCCCAGGTTCAAGTGATTCTCATGCCTCAGCCTTCCAAGCAACTGGGACTACAGGTGCACACCACCATGCCTGGCTAATTTTTGTATTTTTAGTGGAGATGGGGTTTCGCCATGCTGGGCAGCCTGGTCTCAAACTCCTGGCCTCAGGTGATCCACTTGCCTTGGCCTCCCAAACTGCTGGGATTACAGGCGTGGGCCACCATGCCCAGCTCTGGCCAGCTTTTCCTGCATGCCAACAAGATGTCACCAGCAGTGCTGGGCTTACATCCTATCAGTTTCCTAGCCCCCAGGGGAAAGAGGGCATCTTTTTCACAGCAGCTCCAAGATGAGTCTTGGACATAAGATGAATCATCAAGTGCCCATCCTTGTGCCAATGAAAACAGATTGCTTTGGCTGGAAAGCACAGGCCATGTGACTAAGCTAGGTCCCCTCCTGAACCTCATGGACTGCCTGTGAGAAAGAGTTGGTTCCCCGAAAGAAAATCAATGAAGGGGCGCTGGGGCCAGGCACAGTGGTTCCTGCCTGTAATTGCAGCACTTTGGGAGGCTGAGGCAGGAGGACTGCTGGAGCCCAAGAGGTTGAGACTCACCTAGGCCACATAGTGAGATCCCGTCTCTACCAAAATTTAAAAATTGGGCTGGCCACAGTGGCTCACGCTTGTAATCCCAGTACTTTAGGAGGTCAAGGTGGGCAGATCACGAGGTCAGGAGGTCACGACCATCCTGGTGAACATGTTGAAACCCCGTCTCTACTAAAAAAAACATTAGCCAGGCGTGGTGGCATGCACCTATAGTCCCAGCTACTTGGGAGGCTGAGGCAGGAGAATCGCTTGAACCCACGAGGCGGAAGTTGCAGTGAGCTGAAATCGCACCATCGCACTCCAGTCTGGGTGACAGAGTGAGACTCCACCTCAAAAAGAAAAAAATTAGCTAGGTATGGTGGGCGTGTGCCTGTGGTCCCGGCTACTAGGGAGACTCCAAGGATGGATGGGAGGATCGTTTGAGCATGGGAGATTGAGGCTGCAGTGAGCTGTGATCATGCCACTGCACCCCAGCCAGAGCAACAAAGCAAGACCTTGTCTAAAAAAAAGAGAGAGAGGCAAAGATAAGAGACTTGACCATCAGGAACAAGAGAGGCAAAGGTCCCCCCTTTTTTTTCTTTGAAATGAGACTGGGTCTCCCTCTCATCCAGGGTAGAACGCAATGGTGCAATCACAGCCCACTGTTAACCTGGAACTCCTGGGCTCAACCAGTCCTCCCACCTCAGCCTCCTAAGTACCTGAGAGCACAGGTGCATGCCATCGCAGCTGGCTAATTTCAATTTTTTTTGTAGAGATGAGGTCTTGTTATGTTGCCCAGGCTGGTCTTCAACTCCTGACTTCAGGTGATCCGCCTGCCTCAGCTTCCCAAAGTGCTAGGATTACAGGCATAAGCCACTGTGCCCAGCTTTGTTTTCTTTTTAGTAGAGACGGGGTTTCGCCATGTTGGCCAGGCTGGTCTCCAACTCCTGACCTCAGGTCTGCCTGCCTTGACCTTCCAAAGTGTTGGGATTACAGGCATGAGCCACCACACCTGGCCGGAGCCTCATAATTTTGTGAGGTGGGCAGGACAAATGTTATTAATTCCCCATTTACCAATGAGAAAATGAGGTCCAGAGATTAGGCTTCTTGGCCAAGATGGCACAGTCAATCAATGGCAGGGGTGGGACTTGAACCCATCCCTTGCTGTTCCTTGAACCTTTCCACATGACCGGGCTGTTCCTCAGCCTACAGGACACCCCTCTAGCCTTGCCTGTTGGCTCTTTCTCATCCTTTCAGGCCCAGCCCAGATGCTCTGTAAACAAGAATGATGACAGTTAACCTTTTCTTTTTTAATGAGACAGAGTCTTGCTCTTTCTCAAGGCTGGAGTGTAGTGGTGTGATCTTGGCTCACTGTAGCCTCTGCCTCCTGGGTTCAAGCTATTCTCATGCCTCAGCCTTCTGAGTAGCTAGGATTACAGGTGTGTGCCACAACAGAATAATGTTTGTATTTTTAGTAGAGATTTCACCGTGTTGGCCAGGACAGTCTCGAACTCCTGACCTCAGGTGATCGGCCAGCCTTGGCTTCCACAGTGCTGGGATTACAGGCATAAGCCACAGTGACCGCCCCAGAACTAACATGTATTAAGCACATGCCACTTTCTAGATGAGGTGCTTACTAACTTCCTTGAGTTACTTTAGGTAATCATCCCCATACCTCTTATGTGGCAGGTATGACTGTTACAGAGGGAGAAACCAAGGCTGAGAAAAGCTGAGTCGCAGCCCCACGTCAGTCAGCAGGTGACAGATTGCGGTCACACTCACGACAAAGTCTGACTCTAGAGCGGGCCTTTCCTGCCCGCTGTTGCTGCCTCCGGGAGCCCCTCTGATTCCAAGGGTGGGAACTACCCCTCTTTGCCCTTGAGCCTGGTCGAGGCCTGGGCTAGGAGTGCTGTGGGCTCCTCCTCCTTCCCCCAGGCTGGCTCTTCAGGGGCGGAAGTCTGCCTAGCTTGCTCGCCTCTATAGCGCCTGGCACAAAGTAGGTGCCCGTGATGCCCAATTATTTCAGCAGGAGGGCAGGGGTGCTCCCAATGAAGACAGGAGACCCAGGGAGGCGAAACGACTCTCGGGGCCACCCATGCGTAGATCTTAGAGCCAGGCAAGAGCCAGGTCCCCTGGGTCCAGGGGCGCGCTCGGGGCTCCTTCTCGCCCGCGCTCCCCGCGCCCCCAGAGCTCGCGTCTGCAGGGCTGGGAGGAGGCGGCGGCGCAGCCGGGCCGGGCCGGGCCGGGCACCGAGGCCTGGCGGGCTGGCCTGGGGCGCTTTCGTGCCTGCCAGGGAAAGGTTGGCGAGGAGGCTGGGGGTGGAAGCAGGACGGAAAGAAGCAACGGGGTATTTTTGCGTTTTGACATGTTAAAAAGAAGTGCAGATTCGCTTCCCGGCGGCGGACGGGCAGCCTATGCTTAGGTTGGGGACCCGCGCGCTGCGCGGGCTGGGGTTCCGTTGGGAGGCGGCAGCCGCCGGGGCCGGGGGAGCGCAGGGCGGGCCTGGAAGAGCTCCGCCCCAAGGGGCGCGGCCACCCCGGAGGCGGGCGCACGGCTGCTTCTCATTCATTGTCTTGACAAGAGCATCCTCAGCGGGCGAGTCCCCGGCTCCTCCAGCTCCTTCCTCCTCCTCCTCCTCCACCTCCGGCTTTTGGGGGTCACTGTCCTCTCTCGGCAGCAGGTGAGGCTGGGCCTGGGAGGCGCGGGTGGGCCAGGGCGAGGGCCACCTGTGGGGCGGCGCGCGCGTGGGAGCCGCGGGCTGCGGGGGCGCGCGGCTGTCACCGCGACCCGGCCAGCACCGGGGCCAGGGAGCGGGCGCAGCAGCCCGCGGGTGTACGCTGCCTGGAGTAGGGGCCGCCGGGGCTCCAGAGCGCTCTGCCGAGGCAAGGGCGAGGGACCACCGTGGCCAAGATGGAGGTGGGTGGCCGGGGGTCAGCACAGTGGCGCGGCCCCGACTCCCCCCGGAATTGAGTCTTGAGGAGGGTGGGGATGGGGGCAGGGTAGGGTGAGCGGGGCAGCTGCCCTAGCCTTGGAGACAGGAAAGGGTTGAGAGCAAAACAAGAAAAGCCCAAGTTCCCCTTTCCGTGGTTTCCGGGCCTGGTACCTGCGGCGGGGGAGGAGGCAGGGTGGGGCGATGGCTTCCTGCCCCCCACCTCTGGTCTGGGGCTCCCCTCTCTCTAGACCCAGGCTGCCCCTCAAGACTAGGGCTCTTCCCATATGCTCCTCACCGCTCTCTGGGCAGGCCGACCTAGCAGCCTCCTTGGGAATCCTGGGGTGGCCGGGGGTGCTGGAGTCCCCAGTGAGCAGGCGAAGCTGAGGCTAGGGGCAGAGGCTCTGGGCACAGCACCCTCCGAGCAGCAGCAAAGATCCCTTCCCTGAGCAAGAAGGTGATGCGGTTGGTGATGCGGTTGGCACAGGGTCGCCCCTGGAGTTCCTGACTCCCCACCCAGACACTGGGGGAAATAATCCTAGCTGGACATCAGAGAAGTCGGAGTGGCCTCTCCCTTCCTGTGTGTAGTTTACATGGGGGTCGAGATGGCTCTTAAGAGCACCTGCTTTTCTGAGCGGAGGCGAGAGGCAGAGGTATGGGGAGGAGGAGATACTGGGACCTGAGCCATTGATGGCTTCTGGTGCCCAGAGACCTGCTGGGGAAGCCATCCTGCCGCCTCACTTTGCTCCGGCAGCCCCCACGCCACTTCCTCCTGTATTCAGCCCTGTGCCAGCAGGCAAGGGAGGCCAGCCCCTGCCCCTGCCTTTAGGAGGCACTCTGTGTGGGTGTGAGGGAGGTGGGCTCTGGACACGGTAACTAAGAGAGAACCCACCCTCAGAGCCATCTGGGCTGATGACGCCTGAGTCTGAACCATTAGGAAGGACAGGCTCTGCATCCGTCAGCCAGTCAGTCAACAAACATGCAGTGGGGGCAACACCACGCCAGGCTCTGCTGCAGAGGCTGAGGGTATAGATTGAGAGGGTGGCTCAGAGTGGCTGGGGGCCAGGGAGAAAGGAGCTTGCAGGTTAGACTGGAGAAGAGGCCGACAAAGGGGAGCAGGCATCAGCCACGGTAGGGAGCCTCTGGAGATGATGCTGGGACCTCAAAAGCCAGACTGAGGGGTGTCCTAGGGGAGGTGGGGGCCACTGGAAGATCTGAGTTGACCTGAAGGGAGAAACGCTTTTAACCTGTGTGCCCCCAGAATGAGCCGGCAGGTGGTCCGCTCCAGCAAGTTCCGCCACGTGTTTGGACAGCCGGCCAAGGCCGACCAGTGCTATGAGGATGTTCGCGTCTCACAGACCACCTGGGACAGTGGTTTCTGTGCCGTCAACCCTAAGTTCGTGGCCCTGATCTGTGAGGCCAGTGGGGGAGGGGCCTTCCTGGTGCTGCCCCTGGCCAAGGTGAGCCCCTGGGGCCCTGTGGGAAGCAGCTTCTCAACCTGACCCCTGGCTCTGTGGAGGTCCTGATTAGGGCCCGTGTTGCCATCTGGAAAACTGAGCTGAGTCCCAGGAGCCTCATGCTTCCTCCAACTCCTCTGTGCTGTGGCTGTGTAGAAACTGACACTCAGAAGGAGCCAACACAAGATGGGTCACACCACTGACCAGGACGGCAGACAGTCCTGCAGACCTACAACCCACCCTCCCGAGCCTCAGCCTGGGGCTTTCTCCCCATGGAAACACCGAGAGGGCTGGGATGGGGCCTGGGGGCCCCGGCAGCATTCTCAGGGTTGGGAGGGACTCTGGCTCTGGGCTTGCCTGAGGACCTAGCAACTCTGGCCCCCAGCGAACAGGCAGAGATGATGTAAGAGGCGCTCTCCCCTCCCCCAGCCCTGCCCTCCCCTGGAGCCTGCTGTCCCCTCCACCGGCTGCCTGCTGCCCTGCACCCCCAGCACACCCCTGTGCTCTTTGGGGGGTGAGACAGGAAGGGGAGATGGGCCCCAAGTTGTTACCTTAAAAGGGCCGATGGAAGCAAAGAGAAGAGGAAGTGGTTGTCGGGGTAAGAGCTGGGCCCGAGCCCCGCACTGCCGTCACACAGGAAGCCCTGCTGAAGCAGCTGTCCCCGGAAGAAGCCATTTCCAAACCTCTGCCCTTGCTTGGGGCCAGTTATGATGGGCTCCCTGGCCCCTCTCCTTTGGGGAGGACCCACCCCTGCAGCCCCACCACCCACACTCGCTCTCTGGGGAGCCGACTGTGCCCCCCTAGTCCCCATACACCTGTCCTGGCTCTAGGGCCAGTTGGGCCCATGGAAGGCTCACTCAGGGAAGCTGGGTGGGGTGCAAACCCTAAGGGCAGAGATGGACTGAGACAGAGACTGGCGGGAGCTCCGCCAGGGTCTCGCATGGCCCACATCCTCCGCCATGCGTGGCCAGCCCTCCTGGGGTTTGCCCAGGCCGTTTTGGGACTAGGACAAAAGAACAAACGCTCCCCACCCCAGGGCCTGGTCCAGCTTCCAGGGACCCCACAGTCTTCCTCTCTGGGTCTCTCTGAAGGAGGTGTGGGGAGGTTGGATTGGGTTTGGGAGGCAAAAGCAACTCCATCTAAGGCCCTGCTGTGCCTTTAGACTGGACGTGTGGACAAGAATGTGCCCATGGTCTGTGGCCACACAGCCCCTGTGCTAGACATCGCCTGGTGCCCGCACAATGACAACGTCATTGCCAGTGGCTCTGAGGACTGCACAGTCATGGTGAGTGGTGGTGGGAACCCAGGGGCTGAGAAGGGGGCTCTAGGATGGGATCTGACATTTGGAGCCCTGAAGACTCACCGGCCTCTCCTCTGCAGGTGTGGGAGATCCCGGATGGGGGCCTGACACTTCCCCTGCGGGAGCCTGTCGTCACCCTGGAGGGCCACACCAAGCGTGTGGGCATTGTGGCCTGGCACCCCACAGCCCAGAATGTGCTGCTCAGTGCAGGTGCTGCGGGAGGGGCTGGGGTCGGCTGGTGACCTGCCGTGGGTGAGGGCAGGAGGCTCGTGGCTTCTGACACTGTGGGGAATGTGCAGGTTGTGACAACGTGATCATGGTGTGGGATGTGGGCACTGGGGCAGCCGTGCTGACGCTGGGCCCAGATGTGCACCCGGACACGATCTACAGCGTGGACTGGAGCCGAGACGGAGGCCTCATCTGTACCTCCTGCCGCGACAAGCGCGTGCGCATCATCGAGCCCCGTAAAGGCACTGTCGTAGCTGTGAGTTGCCATGCACCCTGATCCTTGACCCTACAGCCTGGATCCTTCTTATCCACCATCAACCAGGCCCTTGGATGCTGCCCTCCCTCACCTCCAGCTGGGACTGGCCCCGTAGGGTATGTATGGGTGCCCGACCTACCACCTTCCTTTCCTTGCAGGAGAAGGATCGTCCCCATGAGGGGACCCGGCCAGTGCGTGCTGTGTTCGTGTCGGAGGGGAAGATCCTGACCACGGGCTTCAGCCGCATGAGTGAGCGGCAGGTGGCGCTGTGGGACACAGTGAGTGCCGGGGCAGGAAGCCAAGGGCCCCGGGGCTGGGAATCAAGACTAGAGGTTTCGTCCCTGCTCTGCCACTTGCCTTGCAGGATGGCCTTGGGCCTCGGTTTACCCAGGCATGAGATGGGTGTTCCCACTGGTTGGTCGGGAGGGCTTTCACAGGTCACTGCCCAGGGAAAAACCACCATCCCAGGGCCTGGCATGTTACCTCTCACCTGTGTCTACAGAAGCACCTGGAGGAGCCGCTGTCCCTGCAGGAGCTGGACACCAGTAGCGGTGTCCTGCTGCCCTTCTTTGACCCTGACACCAACATCGTCTACCTCTGTGGCAAGGTGGCCTCGTCAGGCGGGGTGGGGGCGGGAGGTGGGCAGGAAGGGCCTGGAGAGGGCCAGGGGAAGGGTCATCCACTGGTGTTGATCCTCCCTCCACACCCGCCACCTGCAGGGTGACAGCTCCATCCGGTACTTCGAGATCACTTCCGAGGCCCCGTTCCTGCACTATCTCTCCATGTTCAGTTCCAAGGAGTCCCAGCGGGGCATGGGCTACATGCCCAAACGTGGCCTGGAGGTGAACAAGTGTGAGATCGCCAGGTGACTGACCTTCGGTCCTGACCGCAGCACGCTCCTCAGGCAGTCGCAAGCCCACCCAACCAGGCTGTGGGCCCCGCTCACCTCCCCTTTCCCACAGGTTCTACAAGCTGCACGAGCGGAGGTGTGAGCCCATCGCCATGACGGTGCCTCGAAAGGTGATGCTTCCCCGCCCCGCCCTGGGCTCTGGGCTGGGCACTGACTTCGCGGCCTTGCTGGGGGGTGTCCTGGCATAAGCACTTTTCTCACCAGCCCTGGCCTTGCCCACAGTCGGACCTGTTCCAGGAGGACCTGTATCCACCCACTGCAGGGCCCGACCCTGCCCTCACGGCTGAGGAGTGGCTGGGGGGTCGGGATGCTGGGCCCCTCCTCATCTCCCTCAAGGATGGCTATGTGCCCCCAAAAAGCCGGGAGCTGAGGGTCAACCGGGGCCTGGACACCGGGCGCAGGAGGACAGCACCAGAGGCCAGTGGCACTCCCAGCTCGGTGAGAGAGCTAGGGAGCCAGGGAATAAGGCAGGGATGGTGGGGTGGGCCTGGCATTTGGGGCAGCTGAAACTCCCCACATTGGGAATCTTTGCAGGGCTGGGAGTGGGTAATCCCGAGGCCCCAGAAAACAAGTTTCAGACTGAGAGGCCTGCAGGTCTCCAGGCAGCAACTGGCTGAGTGACAGAAGGGCCTGAGGCCTGGGGGGCTGTTGGGATGGGGCTCAGGAGATGCCAGGGCAAGGGGAGCCCGGAAGGAGCTGGGCCTAACGCAGCACGGGGTCCCCAGGATGCTGTGTCCCGGCTGGAGGAGGAGATGCGGAAGCTCCAGGCCACGGTGCAGGAGCTACAGAAGCGCTTGGACAGGCTGGAGGAGACGGTCCAGGCCAAGTAGAGCCCCGAAGGGCCTTCAGCAGGGTCAGCCATTCACACCCGTCCACTCCTTCCCGACTCCCAGCCACATGGCAGAGAAAAGAAATCATAATAAAATGGCTTTATTTTCTTGTATCTCCCAGACTCTAATGACTGGTCCCCTAGACGTGGGGTTTGCTGAACAGACCAGCCCTTGAGCTTCCTTCCCCTCTACCGCGCTGAGGGGACTAACCCATGGTAAAGGATGCGGGATGCCCCCTAACATCCTACAGCATGGGAACAGGGCTTTCGAGGGTAGGAACCAGCCATGCTGATGTGGGCCAGGAGACTGCTCTCCGATTCCCAGCTCCTCCTCAGAGCTGACACAGCTGAGCTATTTAAGGCCCTAGCCTGGGACCTCAAAAATTCCCATATTTACCCAAAATCTGCCTTTCCTGGTCAACTAAAGCATCAGGTTGCACGTGACTCTGCTAGTAGTTGTTTGTGAGGAAATGAACCATCACTTAAGGGGTGGATATCTTTTTTTTTTTTTTTTTTTGAGACAGAGTCTTGCTCTGTCGCCAGGTTGGAGTGCTGTGGTGCAATCTCAGCTCACTGCAACCTCTGCCTCCCAAGCAGTGATTCACCTCACCTCAAGTGATTCACCTGCCTCAGCCTCCCAAGTAGCTGGGATTACAGGCACATACCACCATGCCCAGCTAATTTTTGTATTTTTAGTAGTCTTGATCTCTTGACCTTGTGATCCGCGCACCTCAGCCTCCCAAAGTGCTGGGACTACAGCTATGAGCCCCCACACCCGGCCGACATCTTTTAAACTGCAGGTCCAAAGATGAAACTAACAAGGGAGCCCAGACAAGGGGGCTCACGCCTGTAATCCCAGCACTCTGGGAGGCCAAAGCGAGGGAGGATCACTTGAGCCCAGGGCTTTGAGATCTGCATGAGCAACGTGGCGAGAGACACCGTCTCTACAAAGAATAAAAAATGAACATGGCGTGGTGGTTCGCACCTGTAGTTCCAGCTACTCAGGAGGCTGAAGCGGGAAGATCCCTTGAGCCCACGAAATCAATGCTGCAATGAGCTACTATCGCACCACTGCACTGCTGCCTGGGTGACACAGCAAGACCCTGTCTTTTAAAAATATAAATAAACAACAAGGAAACTTTTTGTAAGGAAAAGACAGAACTAGCAACAGGCTGACCCTAGTTTACAAAAGAAAGTGAGGCTGAAAACAGAACCCCAGATCACTGAAGGCAGATCCCATGTCAGAGTCTAAGTCTCCTGCTTTTTTATTTATTTACTGATTTTTTTCTGAGGCAGAGTTTCATTCCTGGTGCCCAGAATGGAGTACAATGGCGCAATCTCGGCTCACCACGGCCTCTGCCTCCCAGGTTCAAGTGATTCTCGTGCCTCGGCCTCCCAAGTAGCAGGGACCACAGGCGCATGCCACCACGTCTGGCTAACTTTTGTGTTTTCAGTAGAGATGGGGGTCTCACCATGTTGGCCAGACTGGTCTCAAACTCCTGGCCTCAAGTGATCCTGTAATCCTAACACTTTGGGAAGCCGAGGTGGGCAGATCACTTGAGGCCAGGAGCTTGAGACCGGCCTGGCCAGCATGGTGAAACCCCGTTTCTATTAAAAGTACAAAAATTAGCCAGGCGTGGTGGTGCACACCTGTAACTCCAGCTACTCAGGAGGCTGAGGTACGAGGATCTTTTGAACCTGGGAGGTGGAGGTTGCAGTGAGCTGAGATGGCGCCACTGCACTCCAGCCTGGGCAACAGCAAGACCCTGTCTCAAACAAACAAACCAAAAACAAACAAAAACAAGGTGATAGCAACCGTACTAACCTGTGGTGAAGACTGATACACGGACATCACCTATCCCAATTTTCTGACTTGGTCAGCCTTATATTCCTGCTCTAATCTCAGCCCTATCCCCTTCCCACATCTACTATTCCTAAAACCTCCATAGTCCTCCAGCGGCAGCTGTAGCCACATCAAGCCCAGGGCTACGGGGCCACTGGACTTTCTCCAGTGGGTCTGAAAACATCAGCATTTCAGGTGGTGATGACCCCCTACTTGGGTACCACTCCCTCTTGGGCGTGACAAGGCCTGGGGGAACCTACAGGGAATATATGGAATTCTGTATTATGCCTCCGGCACTGCGGTGATGTCGAGGAGAGGAAGAGGTTTGTTCCTGTCACGGCCCTGAAACCCGGAGCACTTTCTCATCTCTGCACCTTGAAGGCGGGCAGAGAGCAGGAGTCCTGAGCTCTCTGAGAGTTGGGTGGGTGGTGGCAGTACAGACTCCTAGATGTCTGCATGGAATTATAGAGAGAAGGCTTTCTAGGCAGACCCTGGAAGGGACTTTCATGATAGAACTTTTATTTTACAAGCAGGGATAGAGCCTACATGGGGAAAGGGACTTGTCCAAGGTAAAACAACGGACGGAAGCAGGGCAGGGAGAGAGGCCAGGTCCTAGACTCGGCCTCAGCACCCCTCCCACACACACACACCGACACAGAAGCTGGTCCGGATTTATAATTTAATGGCTGTGAAGGTCCTAGTCCCTCATTTCTGCCGCTCACGGGCCCACTGCTCTGGGGTCAGGGTTTTCTGTTCAAAGGCATGGATGTGCGGGAGCTCTTCTGCTAGGCACGCGTTCACCAGCCTGGGACGAGAGATGAGGTTAGGAAACAGCAGGCCGGGATCGCACACCCGAGGCTGGGGTGACCCAAGAGACTGTAGGTGTCCCCAAGGTTTTAGTCCCCAGGCCGTGGGAACACACACTTGGGGAGTGTCTACATCGAAATACTCGAAGCAGGGACCACGAAGGCGGGATCCTCAAGGTCCCTGAGCCACGCCCGCAAGAGTGCGGGACTTAGGTTGTAGGGGAAAGGGGAGTGGCTGGGGTTGTGGTGCAAGAGCTGACACTGCGCTGGGCAAGGTGTTCCCAAGGCCTCACCGGTGTCTCTGAAGCAGCGGCTTCCCCTCGAACTTGGCCGACACCACCAGGACTCGGAAGCTACAGGCGCAACGGTTGAGGGTAGTGTCTTCCACCTCCTACCGAGCGGAAGAATATGAATGGTGCCGAACCCGTCCGCAGAGCTCTTTTCCCCTCTTCGGGCGATTCAACTCACCACATGCTCCGCCTCCAGGTCCCGCTGCAGCTTCTCCCGAAGGTATTCGGCGCTGAGTTCCATGGCGGTATGCCAGCCGGGGCGGCAGCCCAGAGGGGTCACCTACAGTCTCTTGGGTCACCCCAGCCTCGGGTGTGCGATCCCGGCCTGCTGTTTCCTAGAACCCCAGCTAAGACCACAGCCACGCTGCTTTGCGCCCTTACAGGAGCCACTTCCGCTGGGGAAGCCACTTCCGCCCTTACTAAGGCGTACGTCGGCGCAGTACTTCCGCCCTCAAGCAGTCGGGCTTTCCAACAGTCTGGGTTTTTCGCGCCTGCCATACGTCAGCCAATCAGAGCCCTCAGAAGGTGGGACTCGGGCGGAGCCGATGCTGATTGGTACGTGCTTGCAGCCCGCACAGCAGCCTGGCTTCCGAGGTCGGACTTCTACACCCGCCTCCAGACCGGAGAGGGGTACGAACTCGCACCACGGCGGCCTCCAGGCAGCCGCGGGATAGTCCCTGAGAGCTTGTTCAGAAGCAAGCACCCCGCAGCCCTAGCGATCCAGCCCTCCCCTTGGCCCTAGATTACGGCAGTCAGCCCCCTGCTGCTGTCCCCTAACCCCGAGGCCCGATGGGTCCCGCGGGGGTCGCAGCGAGGCCGAGGCGCTTCTTCGGCGTCTACCTGCTCTACTGCCTGAACCCCCGGCACCGGGGCCGCGTCTACGTGGGGTTCACTGTCAATCCTGCTCGTCGGGTTCAGCAGCACAACGGCGGTCGCAAAAAAGGCGGGGCCTGGAGGACTAGCGGGCGAGGGCCCTGGTGAGAGGGGTTGGGTTTCTGTGCCCGGAGGAAGGCTTCCTGGAGGAGGCCGACCCTGCGGGGCACAGGCCTGAGGAGACCGACCGGCCTGATGTAACATGGGCGGGGCGTCCAGGGCGGGGGCGGGGCCTGTCGCAGGGGAGGAGCGTGACGGGGGGGCGGTGCCCGGGGCATCTACGTGGTGGAACTCTGGGAGGAGCTGGCTGGGGCGGGGGTGATGATCCAGGCTGGGGTCCAGCGTAAGGGGTTTGGTGGGCACGCTGGGGTCGGGTGGAGCGCAGGAGAGAGAGGAGTGGGGACAGGTGGGTACCTGGGCTGGAGGCGTGGCCTGAGGTGGGCAGGCACAAAGGGCATGCCTTCAGGCAGGGGCGGGGCCTGGGGCTCGGCTGAAGCCGGGAGTAAGGACCCCGATCTCGGGTGGGATTGCCAGGGACCCACGGCAAGGGTGCTGGTCTGGACCCGCGGTGGGGCTCACAGGGACACCCACGTTCTTCTCCCCAGGGAGATGGTGCTTGTTGTGCACGGCTTCCCATCCGCCGTGGCTGCCCTTCGGGTAAGGAAGGAGACTGGGAGGCTGCGGGCTGGGAAGGGCTTGGGGTCCACCTCCTGCTGCGAGCTGCCCTGACGCCCCGTACTCCGCCCACAGTTCGAGTGGGCCTGGCAGCACCCGCACGCCTCGCGCCGCCTAGCGCACGTGGGGCCGCGCCTGCGTGGAGAGACGGCCTTCACGTTCCACTTGCGCGTGCTGGCACACATGCTGCGCGCACCGCCCTGGGCGCGCCTCCCGCTGACGCTGCGCTGGCTGCGCCCTGACCTCCGCCAGGACCTCTGCCTGCCGCCACCGCCTCACGTGCCCCTGGCCTTCGGTCCTCCACCGCCCCAGGCCCCAGCCCTAAGGCGCCGTGCAGGCCCCTTTGATGACGCCAAGCCTGAGCTAGACCAAGGGGATGCAGGGGCCTGCTGTGCCCTGTGCGCCCGGACCATCCAGGTGAGGTCTACCCCACGCACAGATGGCTCTAGGGTCCAGACGACTTCGGATGCAGCTTTTTCTTGAGGGAACCCACTGACACGCTTTGGCCACCCTGTCCCCATCTCTAAGATGCAGATGCTATATTACTTATGGCCATTCCTGAGCAAAGCAGGACCTGCTCAGGGCCTTCACCTTGTCCCTTTGACAAAAAGGTTCTTCCCAAGGCCATCTGTCTTGATAACCTACCACCTTCTCCTTGAGGTCTTCTCTGGCTCCCGATTTATAATCGCAGCTCTGAGTAGACGGCCATGGTGGCACTCACAAGACTGTAATCTGAGCTACTGGGGAGGCTGTGATGGGAGGGTCACTCAAGCCCAGGAGTTCAAAGGCTGCAGTGAGTTATGATCGCTCCGCTGCACTTTTTTCTTTCTTTTTTTTTTTTTTTTTTAGGCGGGGACTTGCTCTGTTGCCCAGGCTGAAGTGCAGTGATATTAGCTCACTGGAACCTCTGCCTCCCAGTTTAAAACCATTCACCTGCCTCAGCCTCCCAAGTAGATGGGATTACAGACCTGCGCCACCACATCTGGCTAATTTTTGTATTTTTAGTAGAGATGGGGTTTCAACCATGTTGGCCAGGCTGCTCTCAAATTCCTGACCTCAGGTGATCCCACCCGCCTCAGCCTCCTAAAATGCTGGGATTACAGACTTGAGCCACTGTGCCCAGCCTAAATATTTAATAAAATAATGGACAATGGGCACCTTCTACTGAGCTCCTGGTAATAGTGAGTAGAGATCTTGCCCTGCAGAGATTCAGTGTCCTGTGGGGGTTGCTGATCTGTTAGGAAGTTCAGGTCTGGCTGCAGTGGCGAGGCTGTGACTCAGTCAGTCACTGATGCTCACAGGACGTTTACCAGCTTAGCCCCAGGGGGCAAAGATTTTAACTCCACACCTCAGTTTCTTCATCTGTAAGACGAAAATAAGTCGCTGCTGCCTCTGGGGATGGAACTGTGTAATGCCCAGAACAGTGCCTGCTGTACAGAGGGACTCGCTGCCAGCTCCCTCTCTCTCCTTGTGTCCTACCTGCCTGCTGCCTAGGACAGGATGAACAGGGACCCTTGTGTTGCCCCCACCCTGGCTGCCTCCTAAGGGCCCACATGATCTGCCTGGCAGAGGAGTTCCTTCGGGAAGAACCGGGGCAGCTTCTACCCCTAGAGGGCCAATGCCCTAGGTGAGTGCAGTTCCCCGGCCCCAGCCTGGTCCAGCTCTGGGAAGAGGGTTCGCAGTTGTGCAGTCCAGGCCCCGGACAGCTGAGTCCTCACGTCAGCCTCCAGGGCTGAGCCTGGAGGGGGCTTGTGGACTCTGACTCTGTATCTCCTGCCTGCGCCTCCCCTTGGTAGCTGTGAGAAGTCACTGCTGTGGGGAGACCTGATCTGGCTGTGCCAGATGGACACTGAGAAAGAAGCAGAAGACTTGGAATTAGAGGAGGTGAGTGGGCTTTGGCTGCAGGCTCCCTACCCCACTCCCTGCCCTGGGCTGCCTGTGACCTTTCTTGCCTCTACAGGCACACTGGACAGATCTGCTGGAGACCTGATCCTTGGTGTCCCTGTTCCCTTCCTACCTCTTTTCTGTGCCACCTGCCACGGATCCAGATATGGCGGATTTTTACTTGAATACAATAAAAAAAGAGTCTGAGTCAAGGGTGCTTTATGGTCATTGTTGAGCGGGTGGGTGGAGCTAGTAGCCCAAGGTCCTGCCAGTTACGGGGCTTCCTTAGGGGCACAGAGGAGGGAGAGAAGCCTGTGGCCCTAGCGTGTGAGCAGCATCTGCTGTGCCTGGAAACCCCATGCCTCAACTTGCCCCCATGCCTCAGCTTGCCCCCCGTGCCTCAACTTGCCCCCATGCCTCAGCTTGCCCCTGCTTGCCTCTGAGCTCATGCAGTTATTGGAAGGCTTGGGAGACTCACCTTGGAATTAAATGCAAATAGTGAGGACAAAGACCAAGGAGGATGGGGGATGCTCTCTTTCCATAGGGCCCCCTGGCTTCCAAGCCCGAACCTTCTCTGGCCTCTGCCTGCGGAGCCTCCTTCAAACCCAGGGAAAGAAAAGCACCTTCAGGGTTGTTGTTCTTCTAGGATCTTCTACTGATGCTCTGTGAGGTGCCCTGGGAACCATGAAGCTGAAGCTGGCTCCCAGGGCAATGGGACTCCATTGTGTCCTTGTTTCCTTGTTCTTTTTTGTTCTTTTTTTTTTTACGGGGGAGGGGATGGAGTCTTACTCTGTTGCCCAGGCTGGAGTGTAGTGGTGTGATCTCAGCTTACTGAAACCTCCACCTCCCAGGTTCAAGCAATTCTCCCTCAGCCTCCCAAGTAGCTGGGATTACAGGCACCCGCCACCACGCCCAGCTAGTTTTTGTATTTTTAGTAGAGACAGGGTTTCACCATGTTGACCAGGCTGGTCTTGAACTCCTGGCCCCAGGTGATCCACCCTCATCAGCCTCCCAAAGTGCTGGGATTACAGGCGTGAGCCAGCACGCCCAGCCTCTTCTGTGCATCCATGCTCTGCTCCACCCCTACCCCTTCACTCTGCCCACACACATCACTCCAGACTGGCCTTGTGGTCAGAACCCGGAATGCCTGGGCTGATAGGGGCCTGAGGGCTGCACTGGGTCAGAACCCCTGGCGCCTTCAAGACTATCTTGGAGCCAGCAGGTAGGTGACCTTTCCCAGGCCTGCCTATCTCATCTTTCCCCTCTACTCACTCACCTCCCCTGCCTGGATCAATTAGAGAAAGCTTGTCCACCAGGCATGGTGACTCACACCTGTAATCTCAGCGCTTTAGGAGGCTGAGGTGGGCAGATCATCTGAGCTCAGGAGTTCGAGACCATCCTGGCCAACATGGTGAAACCCCATCTCTACTAAAAATACGAAAATTAGCTGAGTGTGGTGGCGCAGGCCTGTAATCCCAACTACTCCCCAACTACTCGGCAGGCTGAGGCAGGAGAATCACTTCAACTCAGGAGGCGGAGGTTGCAGTGTGCCAAGATTGCATCACTGCACTCCAGCCTGCACGACAGAGCAAGACTCTGTCTCATGAAAAACAGAAAAAAGAAAACTTGTCTGTTGGCCTGCCCTGCCGGGTGGAGTTTAGAGAGAAGGTCATCAGAGAGAAGGTCAGGAACCTGGTGCCAGCTCACAAAAAAACTCCAAATACCAAAGGCCCCTTTTGCCTTTCATTCTTGTATTTTCTACACACTAAACTCACATCTTGGGTTTGTAGATTGCTCTCAGCTTGGCTGCAGCTGAGGTTCCCACCCTCAACCCCACCCCTTCCTTCCTGGAACTGAGCTAAGTCCCAGCCCTGACTCCAGATCCCTCCCACATTGAACCTTCAAAACCTTCAACTCCCCACACCGCACCCACACTCAGCCCCTGCAGGCCAGGAGAGCACGAGGCCAGGCTCCAGAGAGCTCAGGTGAGTTCCAGAGTGGAGTGGCCCAGGTTGCCCTCACCCTGCACAGCTTCTGGCTCCAACATTCCAGAAGTCTGGGCCTCTGCCATCCCTGCTCTTTCCCCGTGGATATCCCATTTCAGTAGGACAACCCAGCCTGGCCGGAATCCCCCTCGCTCCCTTCTTTTCCTTTGTGTATTTTTGAGACAGGGTGTTGCTCTGCCACCCATGCTGGAGTGTAGTGGGATCCTGGACCACTGCAGCCTCAAAGGCTGAGGCCATCCTCCCACCTCAACCTCCTGAATAGCTGGGGTTACAACATCCAGCCACCACACCCAGCTAATTTTTAAAAGTGCTTTTTGTAGAGGGGTCTTGCTTTGTTGCCCAGGTTGGTTTCAAACTCCTGGGCTCAAGGGATCCTTCCCTGTTGAAGTCCCAAGGCTCTGGGATTACAGGCAGGAGTCACCCTGCCTTCTCATTCTTCTGAGTCATCAGTTTTGCTCATTCCCACACCAGGCTCTGGCCCCCAATACCAGCTCAGTTGCTCAATGTGCTGTATTTGTCTTAGAGCCCAAGTGGACTGTGACCGGGCAAGTGGATCACAGGCCTGGCTGACCTGGGAGGTTTCCACATGTGAGGAGCCCAGAAGGAGGGGAGCATCCGGGAGAGGAGCCCACTGGGTGGAGGCTGGGGTCTCAGCAGGAAATGGTGATACAAAGGGCACTGCCTGGCAGGGAGACAGCACAGGCAGGCCTAGAGCTTCCTCAGGGCAGCTGGAGTCTCCTGGAGACCTTCACACACCCTGATACCTGGGCCCCGCCCCGTGAGGGCACTTTCACTGGTCTGCACCATGGCCCAGGCCCTGGGATTTTGCACAGCTCTGCAGGTGAATGAAAGCTTCGGCCAGGCTGGGGAACCACCGCACTAGACACAGACCTGGTTTTCAGCCCCAGCCCTGCCACTGACTGGCTTTGTGAGCTCGGGCAAGTCACTCAGCCTCCCTAGGCCTCAGTGACTTCCCTGAAAGCAAAAACACTGCAAAGGAGCAGCTGGGCGCTGGCTCGCCTCTGTAATCCCAGCCCACTGGGAGGCCGAGGTGGGTGAATCACTTGAGGCCAATTTAAGACCAGCCTGGCCAACATGGTAAAATCCCATCTCTACTTCCACTTAAAAAAAAAAAAATGAGCTGAGTGTGGTTGCACATGCTTGTCATCCCAGCTACTTGGGAGACCAAGGGGAGAGGACTGCTTGAACCCAAGAAGTTGAGGTTGCAGTGAGCTGAGATTGTGCCACTGCATTCCAGCTTAGGTGGCAGAGTGAGAATCCATCTCAAAAAAAAAAAAGAAGAAAAAAGAATTCTGCACACAGTGTTGCTGTGACGGCATAAAGGGATGTGGGCTTGGCTCTGGCCCCTGACATAGGAACATGGAGCTGAACCAGTACACCACCCGCCGGCCTCTGGAGTATGTGAAGGGGGTCCCACTCATCAAGTACTTTGCAGACGCACTGGGGCCCCTGGAGAGCTTCCAAGCCCTACCTGATGACCTGCTCATCAACACCTACCCCAAGTCTGGTAGGTGAGGAGGGCCACCCACCCTCTCCCAGGCGGCAGCCCCCACCTTGGTCATGTTCATCTGCCATCTCCCTCCCCCTCCAGGCACTACCTGGGTGAGCCAAATACTGGACATGATCTACCAGGGCGGTGACCTAGAGAAGTGTAACCGGGCTCCCATCTACATACGGGTGCCCTTCCTTGAGCTCAATGATCCAGGGGATCCCTCAGGTGTGTGGCTGGGTCCTGGGGGGAAGGGGAGTGGAGGAAGACAGGGCTGGGGCTTCAGCTCACCAGACCTTCCCTGATCCACTCCTCAGGGCTGGAGACTCTGAAAGTCACACCATCCCCACGCCTCATCAAGTCACACCTACCCCTGGCCCTGCTCCCCCAGACTCTGTTGGATCAGAAGATCAAGGTGAGGCCGGGCACATTGGTTCACACCTGTCATCCCAGATTGAGGCTGAGGTGTGAGGATCCCTTGAAGGCGAGAGATGGAGACCAGCCTGGGCAACACTGCTGTAGAGATGATGTCCCGTCCCTATGAAAAAAATTTAAAAACCTGGTGTGGTGGCACAGACTGTTCCCAGTTACTTAGGAGGCTCAGTGGGGAGGATTGTTTATGCGAATTGGAGGCTGCAATGAGCCCTGCCTGCTGCTGCACTCCAGCCTGGGCAACAGAGCAAAGCCATCTTTACAAAGAAAAAAAGTTCCTGCTGATTGGCAGGGAAGGCCAGAAAGGGAGACTTGGGCACCCTCCCAGCCATGTTTCTGTTCTTTTGGAAAGGCCACCTCGCTTCTACCAGGCTCATCACATCTTTTTTTTTTTTAGACAGAATTTCGCTCTTGTTGCCCAGGCTAGAGTGCAGTGGCTTGATCTCAGCTCACTGCAACTTCCGCCTTCCACGTTCAAGCGGTTCTCCTGCCTCAGCCTCAAGAGGAGCTGGTATTACAGGCATCCACCATCACATTCGGCTAATTTTGAATTTGTAGTTGAGATGGGGTTTCACCATGTTGGTCAGGCTGGCCTTGAACTCCTGACCTCAGGTAATCTGCCCACCTTGGCCTCCCAAAGTGCTGGGATTAAAGGCATGAGCCACTGTGCCCAGCCTTCATCACATCTTGACAGAGGATATGGTCTGCCCTCTTGCTCTGAAGGGGGTCCAATGCCAGGATAGTGAGTCTCTACAGTGCACACTTGAGAAAGGCAGCATGTGGGTGCTCACAGGCCGGAAGAGGAGGGGCTGGTGGAACTGGGCATGCTTGCTCCGGATTGGGGTGTGATGATGTTGATGCAGATTACATTAATATAGAATATGGATCCAGGGACCAGGCTGGACTTTGACATCTGAGCAGGGTTCAGATCCCGCTTGGACCTACCTGTGCCATGAGATCTCAAGCAAGTCAGTGTCTAAGCCTCAGGTTCCTCCTTTGCCAAACCAAGAGATGAGCCGGCCTGGGGCGGGCCATGTGATGGCGCTGGGCCGGGTCCTCTGCCCCTGCAGGTGGTCTATGTTGCCCGCAACCCAAAGGACGTGGCCGTCTCTTACTACCACTTCCACCGCATGGAAAAGACACATCCTGAGCCTGGGACCTGGGACAGCTTCCTGGAGAAGTTCATGGCCGGAGAAGGTGGGGTGGCTGGAGGAAGGAGGGTGTGGAGCCGAGGGGTGGCTACAACACACAGCAA